TTTCTAAGAGAGAATTATACTGACACTGGAGAACAGCAAAGACCAATCCTGTTTCTGAACTTCATTTAACTAGAAATACATCCATTTGGGGGAAAGCCTCTAAAATGTTTTAGGGCTAGGCATTTTTTAAATAAACCCTGTGAGGTATTCTCACAGAATTTTACTTGCACTAATGTAACCTAAGTAGATATACCCAAGTATCTCAAAGTACTGCTTTTAGAACAGTGAGACAAGGTATGTGTATAGAAAGACAAGCTTCTTTTCGATAAAGCATAAACTAAATCTAAACAAATGCCTTTGCCAAAATAATGTTTTATTTCAAAAGATACTGATAAGGAGACCGAAGACTCAAAGGGTATCTATAGATTCCAAGTCACACTCCCAGCCCCCGAGCGGTCTGTCACATCAAAGGGCTCTCTCTGACGGCTTCTGATGCTGGTCTGCAGGCGAAGAGCTCTTTTCCCATAAGCCGTCTCCATTTTTTTTGTAGAGTAGAGCTTTCTTTTCAGGAAACAGTGCGTTCATTGGAGATGGGTATTTTTTTAAAAACAACAAAGTCGATCTGATATGTTCCACAAAGTGCGGGGGCTCAGCCAGAGGTGAGGTGGAGAGGTTCTGGAAAATAAGATTCGGGGTATGAGCAAAGAATGACCTTGCTCTCGCTTTGATACAGCCATCCTAAAATAGACTTTCAGTGTTCTTTATACATTGGATATATGTATAAAAACCCTAAACCCATAGTCATTCTTAGGAGCAGATCGCACTATCTTCCCAAGGAATTGCTGGTGAGTTTGAACCACCGACCTTGCATTTAGCAGCCCAGTGCTTACTTGCCAATGAATGTAAAGTTACATCAGAAATGAGGTGCTGGGTTAATGAGGTAAAGCGTACCACTTGTGCTGCAGATTTCTAAACATGACATTACTTCTTATCCCTGTTGGCAAAGAAGCTAAACAGACGAAGCAGGTGCCAGTGGCATACTTAAAGCAGTCTGCTGAAGGAAAAGCAGCTTTCCCTAGTCTAAACCCTTTTTTGTCTTACAGTGGAAGATATCAAGCGTTAAGACTTGGCCAACAGTAGACTCTCACCTCTAGTATTTGCTTATCATCTTGCTGCAACCAGAAATCCACATGTGGAAATGGCAACCAGGAATACGGTCCTATGCGAAGTTGTTCTGTCTTTGCATCGTAAATGCTAATCATCTAAAAAAGGGGACATTTCAAGACTATAATGTAAAGGGTGTTACTACTTCTGAAACCCTACCAGGGTAATCTATGCTGAGTGGCACCTGGATAATAGGAGTCTTAGAAGTTTTGTCTCACATCATGACAAAAGCTGCTACTTAACTGAATGCTTGCAATGTGTCTACTTTTGTGTTGTGTGGGTGACTACATTATTTTATTTAGTCCTTATAAGAGTCCTGCAGGAAAATGACCATTTCCTTCATTTTGGGTGAAAACCTGAGGTGCAGAGAGATAGTGCCCAAGGTCCCCTGAGCCAGGAAGTATCAAAGTTGGGCTTCAAACCCTGGTGTGTCTTACTGAAGCCTGCTCCTCATGGCAAGTCTAAAATACATTATTTATACCCAAGCAACTAATCACCTTGCGACTACAAGCACGTAATGTCTACTGCCTTACCTAAAGGAAGGAAAAGGCAGTTTATAAAAAGCTAGTTTGCCAAATGACCAATTCTCTGAATGCCGACATTCTCCCAGTGGTATTTTTAACTTTGTTACTGATGTTCAATTTTGGCTTTTGTAGACACAAATATGTTCCTATGTATCACTTTTTTTTCTTTTTATATCATTTTATTGGCTCTTACAGCTTTTATAACATTCCATATACCAATTATATCAAGCATATTTGTACATATGTTGCCATCATTTTCTAAACATTTACTGTCTATTTGAGCCCTTGGCATCAGCTCCTCTTTCAAACATTTTTCAGTGGGAGTGCCATCTTTCCTAAATAGGCAGATTTATTGGGTGCTTTGGGGTGCTCTGAATGCCATCTCTATTTTCTACATGTTGAGCATTGTCAAATAATTCTTTCACCCACTCTCAGTGGATAAAGCACCTGTCTTTTAAAGTTGCAATTTGGAGTTTTTATGTCTAACTTGTAAAGTCAAAATGTTCATCTTAGGTCTTTATGTCTAGCTTTTAAAATTCAAATTGTCTTAAAAAGCACCCTGAGGAAACCAGAAGTTTTTTAATTAATCTGATCATTCTGTTAGGTTAACTACATCAATCAAGGCAATTCGTGCTGAGTGACTGTCCCGAAGAGTATACCATCCCGCTGACAGTGGGGAGAACACACTGCTGCCCCCTCCTGGTCTCACTTTTATCACATAAAAGGGCTGTGTTCTCTTTGGATCTGGATGCTGTGGATTCACACCTGCTTCTCCCTAACTACACCTCTTAGAGCAGTGGTTCTCAACCTGTTGACCCCTTTGAGGGTCGAATGACCGTTTCACAGGGGTCGCTCGATTCATAGCAGTAGCAAAATTACAATTATGAATTAGCAATGAAAATTTTATGGTTGGTTGGGGCACTATAACGAACTGCATTAAAGGGTGGCAGCATTAGGAAGGGTTGCTGTCTTGGGGAGTGAAGAGGGATCTTAAGCTTACAATGTAAGGTCATTCATTACTCTTTTGCTTATTTGCATGTTTGAGGGTGGGGTCAAACTCCAGCTCAATGCCGTGGAGTCGAATAAGACTTTTAGCAACCCTATAGGACAGGGTAAAACTTTCTTTTGGTTTCCAAAACTTTACATCTTTATGGGAGTAGACACCCTCATCTTTCTCCCTCAGAACAGCTGGTGGGCTCAAACTGTAGACTTTGTGGTCAGCCGCTCAGCACATAGCCCACTATGCTGTGAGGGCTCTGTGGGTCCCTGATTATTTATAGCTCCAAAGCTGGCTTAAACTTTTCATTTCTATAGGCTCTAGACCTTAAGGCTTTGGAATCTGTTGCCTTCCCTCCTTTCCCCTTAAACCTGTAACACAGATGACTGCAAACTCACTGGTCCTCCTGTCAGAGCTCTCGCGGCACGCAGCTCCTCCTCTGGTCCTCTGTCCTTAAAGGAGGCTCTGTAAATTTCGGCAGTTTTAATGTTGACAGCTGTGAGGGATGACAAGATGGCTTTGAATTGGCAAAAGACTCATTCACTGCCATCTAGTTGATTTGGACTCACAGTAACCCAACAGGAACCACCCCGTGGGTTTTCGAGAGTGGAAAACTTCATCTTTTTCCCACAGAGCGGCTGGTGGTTTCGAACTGCTGATGCATAAGCAGACCAATGCATAACCATGCCACCACTAGGGCTTCTGGCAAGAGTACCATGAAACATTTGCATAATCTTACATTTCTATTATCATACTTAAGAGTATGGATAAAATAAAATCTCCCTCAAAGAGAGAAGAATGGAAGCTGAACAAAAGGACTCATGTCTGTAGCTGCCCCTTTACAGCGAGGGAAATGTGACCTTCCAGCCTAGTCTCTTACTGAAAATGACTGAGGCCAAATCAGGAGTGCCCAGAAGGTCATCTTCCTGGGGCTCAAGCTCTCTGCAAGCAGGCACTGGCCAGATGCTCCCTGGTTAGCCTTGCAACCAAATGCATTGTCTATGGCTGGCAATGGGATAGTGGCCAAGGGTCATGGCAAGGCCCAGGGTTTTTGTAGGTTTAAAATTTTGACTAATATTTTAGGCATGAAGTTCAGAGAATGAAATCATGAACACCTTGTATACCCATGGTTCAGCTAGCCAGCATGTCACTGACAAGTAGAAGCCCCATGCAAGGGCGCCTGTTATCCTCTAGCTCTAGAGTCTTCGTGGCTGTCCCAAAAGGTGAGATGGCCAGTAGGTGTTCTTTTAGCTTGCTGGTTTTACATTTTCTTTTCTAGGATCTTGTTTCTCAATCAAAATCTTACTGGTTTCCGGATTTTGTTTCTCAATCAAAATCTTACTTGGTTCCCTCTGTAGAAAAAGATTAAAATGCTCAACTCAATCTGCTCCCCAATATGCTGGCTAGAGAAACATATATATCCCTAGCCTTCCAGAGGGGAGGAGCAGGGGGCCTGCCAACAGCTGGCATGTGCTCATCATGGAGGAGTGGGCTGTGCTTTATGCCTGCTACCTTATTAGTCTTGGAAGTCCTAGGATGATATGGACATTAGTTTGTACATAAAGGTTAAGCCGCATGCTAAAGTTTGAAAGAAAGTCTGTAGTATATCCACAGCAGTGGGAATTGGGGTTTTGCACAATCACTTTAACCATGCCTCCCAGACCTCCAAAACCAAGCCTCCAAACCTCAAACACACACACTACTTACCAATGCCATAAATGATTGGAAAATGGCTTTCATTTTCTTCCCGATCATTTAATTCTAGCCAAAAAAAAATGTGTTTTTCTTTTTAGATACAATTTTTAAATAACATCAAACAATTGTTTTCATTTTGAATAATAAAGAGGGAAACCCTACTGCAAAGGGAGAAACACAAAATCAATGAGGCTGGGTCCTGGTCTCCCTGGTGAAGCCCAGAGTGAGGAGATTTACATGGAAACATAGCCCCTTCAGGAATGAACCTATCCAGTGGTAGCTTCAGTCTGCTTTCCAATCCCTGCCCTTCCCAAGAGTAAAGAAATCTTCTGATATGTATGCCCCAGGATGACAAAAGGAATTGCCCTGAGGCAGGCCCGCGGTAACTGAAGGTTGAACAGGAACTGGACCTGGGGCTATAGGGTAAGGAAGGAAATTCTGACAGATGTGGAAAATGAGCAAAGGGTCAACACATTGTGTTTCTTCTACCTGCAAGGTCCTGATGTCTGGTCCTGCCATAAGGGTAAGGGCAAAAGTTCCTAAAATCTGCTTAGCTTGGGGAAAGATTGCAGAACTTACCTGTCACACATAATGTCACTAAATGAATGTCCTCTTTTTGTCTGTCAAATTCACCTATAATTAGAATTTTTAAACTGAATTTTAAAAGTTACTTAAGATTAACAAAACATGCTGAGAAAGTCAAGAGGGAAGAGGGATAAAACCAGTTGAGTAACACATCCTCTAAGCCACACATCTGGCTGCTGTTTTATCAGCCCATAGGTACTGACTTTCAGAGGCCTGAAAGCCATTGACCACATTCTTAGGCTCAGGCTTAAAGGAAATGGAGACCCTTGGGGGATAAAGTTCATTACAGAAGCTATTCTTTCCTTAAGATTTTTTTTTCCTTCTTAGTATGAGAGGCGGGTCACTGGCAAAAGTTTGGAAAATACAGGAAAGTATGAAAAAGTAGGTTTACGTACCTATAATCTCAGCAAAGTTAAAATTCAGTGTTTCTTTTCTATGCAGAACTCAGGTCACATTATAGAGAATTGTGTATCCTCTCACACCATGTGATAATTTCATATCCTGATTTGTCTGTATGAGGGAACCTTACAAGTTTCGTGGACTAATCTAGGGGACACTAAAGTCTTTAAAAACAAAACCAAACACATGTAAGTTCTTTATTTGGGACACTAAGGTCTTACGGCATGACAAAAATCAAAGGTAATGTTCTACATCCTACTTTGGTGAGGACCAACTGGGGTCTAAAAGCTTGTGAGGAGCCATTTGAGGTGAAAATATTAGTCTATCTCCATCCAGAGGGGAAAAAAGTGAAGAAAAATTTTTTAAAGAAACAAAAAGGTAAACAATCTAGTGGGCTAATGGACCATGCCAACATCAGACTCCACAAACTTAAGACCAGAAGTAGATGGGGTCTGGCTACCACTACTAA